TTTTTTTTTTTTTTTTTTTTTTTTTTTTTTTTTTTTTTTTTTTTTTTTTCGGAACATTGACTGAGGCAGGAGGTATAAGAACATTATGGTAGAGTTTTGCACACATTATTCTGAGGGGTTCAAAAGTGGAACTAGTGAAGTCTAAAAATTCTGACCATACAGCCTTGTCCACAAGAGCATGGTTCATGAAACTTTGGGCAAACTTATTCCCGGAACTTATTATAACTCGACTATAACTTAAGTATTCTGCAAAACCCAAGTTCTTTGAACTAAAACACCCAAAATTTCCGCGAACTACGCTTGTGTGGACAAAGCCTACAAATAAACGAGAGATGCAAATTGTTTTGTACCTGTACTACCAAAGTGCCATTTAACATCATGATTGCTCGAGACATTGTGAGTGAACTTAGTTTGATCAGAATATTATCAATAATTGGTCTGGAATTATGATCGCAATTACTCAGAATTGACGAAGGGGCCTCTTTGAAAAAGTTCTCTATACTTAAATCACCTGGTGAAGAAACAAAATTGAGATTATTTTTAACGAAGTCCAATTCTAAAGTTAAATCTGACGATTCATTTTTGATTGAAAGAACTCAGATTTAAACTTGAGAATTCAAGTTTATCACTTGCTTGAAATTTATAGTCTCTAATTTTTCAAAATGGTGCACCAAAGTTGCAATGATAAGAGACTTACGAAGTAATATTGTTCTTTCTTTCTTGAAGTCTATCTCTGTATTGATCTCTCTTTCGAAAGATGTTTAAGACTTCGTGTTGTGAAAGCACTTTTAAATACATGTATTTACTGACAAATCAACATTTCTGTCTTTCTTTTGCAAATTTAACTAAGAATACATGCAAAATATCAAGTATTATTTGATGCCTTATTATTATACCCTACAAAAACTCCAAAGATAAAGAAGAATCAAACAGGAAAACCTTAATTAATCTTTTTCATAAACTTTCCGGCTTGTTTTGGATAAGATTTCCTTCCCAACTTTTCCAGAATCTTGCTTTTGAGCCCTGGTTAAAAATGGCTATCACAGTTATATCTACTGTTCAGTGTTGTCTAAACAGATATTCATACAGATAAATGAAGGCTTATGAAGATCACCTCGCCATTGCCATCATATGAAAAAATCTAAAAAGTTCTGATTCAACTCTCTTCCTCTCAAACATACTGTTTGCAGCCTCAAAACTTACAAATAAAAATTATAAAATGACATACCTAAATTAATAAAAATACCATTTGGCGACAAAGAATTTTGCGGCAGAACTAAGACAGGAGCATGAATGAGAATGGAAAAATGGAGCCGTGTACTACAGGTGCGAAGGGACGCAGCAGCATTTTTCACCATTTTAAGACAGTGATGATAACCATAAGACATTAGCCCAGGTTTGATAAACGGCTCCATAAAATGCTGAAAACAGAAGTTGCAAAACAAATCAAATTACACATTATAAAAAATTGAAACCTTAAGTTTTGTTCATAGATGACACTATTTCACCTAAACAATTTCTCAGTTACATTTACACTACACAAATGTCCAAACAAAATTTTAAAAAGAAGAGGGCGTAACTTTCTCCTCTACACTGCCGCCCCTTTGCAGAACGACGCATATTTTATGAACAGCCCATGACCCAATTTCCGATTTTTTGGTGCTTGGCCTGCTATTGATACGAAGTTTTCACTTTCTCTTTGATCAATAGATTCTGGACTTTTTGATCATTTTTATTGTGTTCTATGAAATTTTGATGAGAAAACTTGGATTGCAGAGCTTTGACCGTTACTCTATCTGGTGGTCATCCCCTGTCATATCAACCACATAAACCTACACCGACTGTCAAGAATGATGAAAAATTTGGACATTTCTTAGAGATTGATCTGTAGAAAAGTATACGAACTAACCTGCAACTCTACAAGATTCTTTTTCAAGAAAACAATCTGGATTTTTTCAAGATGCAGTTTCAATTTCCCATCTGACTTAACATCGTCTCTCTTGCAATTAATAGTAGCTGCTTCGTAAAATCGTGGATTATGGCGAACATACCGTAAATCCAACACTTTATCTCCTTCCATACTTAGAACCTGTAGAACAAACACATAAATTCAATTGAATCCAATGCACATTTTAGGAGGAAGTCACGTTAACTTTCAAAACCAGAAAATAAAACCGTTCTTGCATCATATTTTTGACTACTAATACACTTCGAATGTTTGAAATCAGTCCATTGGTGTTGTACCAAGGGAAGGAAACCCCTGATAAACAGTGCCATAGCAAATAACAACCGATACGGTTTCTAATGAATTACTACTGCTAAGAATATAAATTTTCACTCATCAGTATCATCATTACTACCAACATCAATTGAATCAATTTCGAGTTTCCGAGTTGGTGTGTTTTCAAACTCACTGATTCAATTGAGCTTTGATGAATTTTATACGATAAATCATACCTTTAATTGGCATGACCCTGAAATTAAAACTATATTTAAAGACTATAAAAAGGCGCTCCTGGGGGACAAAGCCAAGTAAGCGGCCTTGTCTATTGTTTATTGGAAATCCCCAGCTGTACAAATGAGTCAATGTGTCTGAGATTTGACCCTAAACAATATCCGAAGTTGGTCACTGACTCTCCCTCCCTCGCATACACCACTTTTTGTGGCATGGACCGTAAATGTTGACACATTTTGCAATGATTTAATACGGTGGCCGGAGGTATTAAATGCCACGGACCGATATGATAAGTGCTTACTTATCACACGTTCTCTTTATTGTTACATCATTATTATTGATCAAAATTAGTTCATGTCAATAGATACCATCTAATTTAATTGTATTTGTTAGTGGTGACAATTTATGTATATTGAATTCTGTCAACAACCAATTTAAAAAAAAAAAAAAAAAAAAAAAAAAAAAAAAAAAAAAAAAAAACACATGATGCAATTAACAGGATACGGCTGAAATTACTTTACCTTATGATATAGGGGACATCCTGAGAGTTCATCAATGCCTATATTCATGAGATAAACTCGTAAAATCATTCGCTCATTTGCCTTGAAAGTGCAGTCCGTTTCAAACCCACCAAGCTTGAAAAAGAGGAATTGAATTAAATCAGCAGAAATGAAAAAAACAAAAACAAAAATTGGACAGCTGAACTAAACAGTTGTATGGTTTTTGAGAACCCTAAAATAATCAAAAATATTTCATCTGTCATTCAATAATGGAACACACCTTGAGGCAATAAAAAGAAGTAAAACAGCATAGACATTTTGAAGAGACACTTGTTTGACATAAAAATCTATGGAACAAGTGTAGGTAACACAGTAAATTGATGGTGAAACTACAAAAACAATCATCTTCATTGAATCTTACCAAAGTGTTGCTCCTTCTTTTTCTTTTGAGACAGTGCTTACACACTTTTTTGTCTCATATTAATTATCACAGTATATTCATGGACAAAAAAATGCATGATACTTTCAACAAAAATGATCCATCATCCTTCTATAAGTAAAATGAGGAAAAATGTGGAACATTGGACGCAGATATACATCGTTCGGACCAACAACATAGTGCCAGACCAAGTAAAATTCATTACTGTCACAAGCTATCATATTGTCAAATTTTCAGAATTTTAAGTCAAATTTCTACAATTCCATGGTACTTGGTATATTTTAAGGAGGAAATTGCGATGAAAGTTGCTGGAGCTTGCATCAAATAATTTGCCAGTTGTTTACTTTCCATTTCCAGATGACTAAGCTACTACTGATTAACAGCGACTGAGGATTGATCAAACGCAAAGATGCTGCCATGCAGATACAAGAATCGATTAAACTGCGCAAGACAGTCAAAAGTTGACGGCTGCCTTCCTATTCGATGTGAACTCTACATTATCGCTATTGGAAGTTACAGTTGCGTGTTGCCTATTCTCTTGATTCAAGGTGCAAATCTCAATTTGTGGAGTGGTTGGTTGACACCTGGGCGAAAATGAACCGAAGTTTCCCTAGTTTTCTTCCGATTCCTATTACTTCAAATCAAAATTGAACATACTTTTATTCTTTCTGATCAGAGAGGAGAAATTTAGCTTACCTATTACCCTTAGGCTATTTATTGGGATACCTATGAGGGTAAATAAAAAAAATTAACTTACTCTGAAATCCAAGAAATCACTGTCGGCGTTACATAACCTAATGAAGAGTTCTGAAAAACGAATTGAATAGCTGAATTTTGTAGCTCCAGGAGGGATCGGAGCCTCAGGTTTACTGTGCCAACTGTGGAGACAACCGTCCAACAAACTTTTAAATCCTTGAGCATTGAAACTGTGTAGTCGACTTTTGACCCTGGAGAGATAAAAGAGAGACAAAAGAGCTAGAAAAATATTACCTGTAAAGATTTAAATGAAAGACAAAAGATCGTACAGCTTACTCAAATCAACAAGCCTGAAAAGAACTTTTCTCGGTGGTAACCTCCATCAGAGAAGATTTTCCAACTTGTTCAGTCCATCATTTAATATCAAAAACTCTTTTTTTTTCAGCAGCACTTTATTTAGTTTTGGATACACTCATTACACTGATGAAGTGCCCAAATATAATACATCAAATAAAATATTCTCAGTTGCACAGAACATGTATGTATTCACTCAGCACTTGGGGAATAGAGGTCTAAGTCTGCACTGAGTTCAGTTAAAGATGGGAGAGGAAATTTGAACATTGTGTAAGTTCTCACGAGAGGAAAACCTATATTGGCCATGTATCATCAGAAAACAAGTGACTATACTGCCCAGCTGAGAAGAAACGCCGTGTGAATTCTCAGACGTTGCCAAATTTTTTTGACAAAATACGAATTTATTGAGAAAGTTGTGAATATTTTTCTTCCAAATTTCCAGAGAAGTTTATTCACAATTTAACCTATGTACGGGATCTAAAAATTTCAAAGCAAGATATTCATAACTTTCCTCAAAAATGAATGATTCATACGGAGAAATCAGGCAATATACGTATGTTCATACGGCGTTTTTCCTTAGCGCGGCAAATTAGGAATGAAAGGCTTCTACCCAGCCATAAGTAATTCATATAACGGATCTGGGTTTGAACTACTGACATGTTACAAAAGAGGAGGAAGATTTTAAACATATATTAGGTAATATTTATGGACCTTCTAAAGCCTTATCAATTATGGTCAGAACTTGATTCATTAAAATCCAAAAATATCATCAATGAAATGACCAGGGAGACATTAAAGATGAGTTTCACCCATAGGATGCAAATTGAGCTTATAAACCCTGATTTTAATTATGTTTACCGCTTACAAGTGCTGCAAGTTAGACACCTAAATACCTCCAATATCAATTTCTTTAAAATAGTATCCAGCTACAGACTGTAACTTACTTTTGAATGACGTACTGTAGAAATTTATGAAGAGTAATGAACGCACCGCGATGAAATGTTAGTGAAAATTTAGAAAAATCAAGAACTAAAGATTGTTCCACATTATGAAAGTGCGTTTTAAAATCTGGACAGTTTGAACTGACCTGAAAAAGGAAAAAAAGAATGGAAATGATGAAATCGAGAGAGTCACTGCAATTATTGGAAAAACCTTTGGTAAAAGAGCGTAGAAGGGTTACGGTGCTGATGTGATTGTGAAATTTTGCACATCATTTACAGGAAACAAAATTCATATACATTCACTCATTCAAAGTAATTCGTAGAAAAATTAGAAAAAATTCAAAATGTATTCAGGGATAAAGGGCAGAGCTTTACGATCAGAAAATTATAGATGGAGGATTAATTAGCACGGTCTTGGCAACATTCTACCCAGTATGTCCTTAATTTAGTCAAAGAGAGAAAGGTTCCACAATAAGTCAAGAGATAGATGGACATTATCTCACCCTGAAATTGAGAAAACATTGAAATCAAATTTCAGCACTAAAATCAGCCGTGAATCTTTTTGCCATTGGACGGTTACATTAATTATTTTTTCCCTAAATTTTTGCCAGAAGATACGCCCTGTTGTTTCACTCTGCTTTACTTCATACTTAATGGCATTTAAAAAAACTTTTTGAGGCAGAAGACAAAGTAGATTTTAACATTAAAAATATAAATAAAATGAACACAAAAAAGTTACCTTTCGGTACAGTAAAGATGCAAACTCCGTTGAAGACTCAGTCAACAGTAATTTTAAACTTTCACCATTGGCTGTTTTATGGAGCAAATCTAGAATGGAAATGCTATAAATGGATGCTTGCATAGCAGGACCGTACTCCATAACTGCTACATCCAAACAAAACTTCTCAATTTTCAACTGTAAATATCCTTTGTCAGTGTTATCACTTGAGCGGTTCAGATCAATGGCAATCTGTAAAGAAAATTGATTTCTTCAATGAATAAAACCACTCCTACTTCATGACAAAAACCTGAAGAGGCAACATTTCTCAGAAAATAGGGATAATGCTAATTGCCTAGGCAGTCACGGTTCATTCTTTGCTTACCAAGGCAAATGCCCAGTCTCCTAAAATTACTATTCGCTTGCGAAACATGCGTGCAAAGAATAAAGTATCATTTTATAAAACAATTCGTATGCACAGTTTCAAACTATAAAGGAATTTCAGAAAAATGCACTTATTCTTGAACCTACATTTCTTTTACACTACCATCACTATACTTTGAATGTAACGATTTTCAATGTGTTTTGAAAAAACTTTTATCAGTACTGTTTCGGGACAAATCAGTTGTATTGGAAACCTTTATTCAATATAAAAGAGAGGGAAAAACCAGATGTTGACCAAAGAAAAACAAAATAGTATGTATATATGCTGTGTCAATGGTAAATCTGTGGGAACGAGTTGTTACCAATGTTTCAAAATCTCTGCTTCAATTTGACTTTAAGAAGGGAGATCATATCAACGCTATTACTTGAAATTTTTACAGAATATTCTTCGCACGGAGAAAAAAAATCAGAGAAGTTGCCAAGAAATGATGTTGAATATGTTTCAATTTAAAAAATAAAGTATGACAGGAAGTCTACATCATCACAAACCAAGGTACGCATTCTTACAGTTTTAAAGTTAAAATAGGATATACTGAAGACCCAAACTAACCTGAGAAATCACAAATCTGAATAGAAAAAGGTTTAAATTATTGGGGGAAATATTATCATCAAAACCAGGTAGATCAACTTTGCATGCCCACAGCTCCATGTCTTCATCGCTGAGATCTGAGGAGATGAAACTCTTGTCAACATTTAGAAGGGCTAACTTCGGTGCTGCACAATTTTGAGTGACTTCAGGGGCAGTTATTTTCAACTCAGCTGCAACGATGTGGTGCTTGATGTTCTGCAGTTCTTTTGTGGATGGATCTCCCGGCAAAACTTCATGATAATCAAAAACATACTTGGCGGATGAGTTTGAAAAACTCCTGTTAAACGGTTTTGCAGACGGCAAAGGAAAATTGTGTGAGAAATCTAGAAAAGCACCAATTTTTTGATCCGATAAATTTAATTTTAGAGTTTTAAAATTAATATTTAGTTTATGTTTTGGTAATTGACGGTAATCAGGCCTCAAACTGTTTGATAAAACAATTTGACACAGGGTTTTGGCAACTATGTGAACTTGCGAGTCGGGTAATGATTTTAAGCTTTTCCAGTCATCTTTGGAAGAAACAAATAATAGTTGAAAATCGGTTACATCTAAATAAAAGCGGTCGTACAGTTTCTCTTCGATTTCCATCTGGGTTGCATCTTCCAAATTGATGTCATTTAACTCTAATTCAGTTTTCAGGACAAGGTGTCCAGGATCAATTATCAGCAAGTTTCCAACTCTAGAAAATGACAGACATAAATTCATTATAATTCATGTACACATAATAATATTACAAATAATATAAATAACATACATAAAAATAACAAATTTAATATAATACTATAAATTAGCATCATTTTAGAGAGAGTTTACTTAGTTGAGCCCAAGTTTACAGTTGAGAACAAGTAGTTTCTAGAAAGTGATCTAAAGTTTTAAAATTTTAGATAAATGCACTTTATGACTATTATTCACTTGAAGATGAATTAAACCACAATTTTTTGAGATATGTACGAGGAGAATCTTTTTATATCAAAAACTCAAATTCTGATTTTTTAACATGCCTCAGAAGAATGGGCCAGTTGTGCTGGTCACTGAATCATGTTATGATGCTTTATTCTTGCAGATCAACTAAAAATAATAAGATCTGTCCAAACAGAATCTTTCTACGTTGAATATTAACCGAGGTATCGCACGTTAAAAACTCAATTTAAGATGTCATCCACCGTGGTAGTACATACCATGTTATGCACAACCGTGGTGGATAACGTCAAAAACCCGACTTTTTAAAGGGCTATATCTCGGTTAATTTTCAATTCAATAGAAAATTTCTGTTGGAAAAGATCTTCTCATTCTTAGCTAATCAACAATAATCAAGTATCAAAACACGATTCTGTTACCAGTGCAACTGCCCTATTTGTGTCTGTAGAATAAGGCGCCTTTTTCTGTGGATGGCCACAGATGTAAAAAATAAATTATTTGAATACATTCATGAATGGACCACAGGACAAGGTGCGAATTTAAAAAATGAGAATTTTTATTTAATCAAATGATAAGACTTACTTCTGAGCAGAGCCAAACTCTGGTAGGATTAGATATGGCAATTGTAAATCTAAATTGAGTTGAACCGTTTCCTGTCTTCCTAAAACTTTCTTTGTTAGGGAAAGGAGAACTTTTGACACCCTCTCAAACTTAATTTGAATTGCTGATTTCAAATCTATCATAGGAGCTTGGATGAAATTCATAAGTTCTGCTATTACAAACTGGAAAAAAATGAATGCACATTAAAAATTAATATTGGTCATTATATGCTGATCGAACTTTGATACCCATTCAAACACTTGGTTAAACTTCTTCAAATACTGTTTCCATTTATATTCCATCTGAAATTCTTTGGTTAAATACTTGAAACTATTTGGTTCACCTTGATTTGATTACAAAATGGACTTGGGATTATGACTTAACTCTTAAATTTTTTTTTTGAGAATTACTCAGCTTAAACATGAAAGATTATTTGATTAAGCCTGCACATTGTGCAACTTTATCTTGATAAAACGTATATATTTTCTTAAGAAAAACATGTCTTCAGTACCTCATTATAAAAAACTTCAGTGGCTCCTAGTACCAAAGTAACTTCATAATCTGCGTTCAATGGATTTTTTTGAAAATCCAATGCCAGAAAATTTGATCCCGAATGACCTACAAAAAGACAAGAGGATGGATGCTTTACCAGAAGAGAAGAATTTAGTGAAAGAATAACAATATACCTGCTATGAGACAGTTGCAAGATGCCAAAATTGGCTAGACTGATAGATATTTCTTGCAAAAATTAATAGAGAAATACATTTCCAAGCTCTGAGAAGCTCTTTGACTTTCAAGGAGCAAGAAAATAAAAGTTAAAGTTAGGTAATAAAATTGAGCGTTTCTCCTTGGCTCCCTTCTTGTGGCACCACACCAAACCAGTTCAACCCATGGATTCAAATTTCAACCACCACAGATCAAATGGAAACAACACAACTGAACAACTGCAGTTCTTACATATTTATCAACATACTGCTTGAAGCCAATTATGCTATTAATTCTAATGTAAAATGTATCATTATTCAAACGCCAAAGAGAACAAAAAAGTGACGGAAACAAGGTAGAAACCATTAATACTAAATTGCAGGATGACAACATGACTTCGAAACGCAAAATAATGTCGAACATGGACAGCTGATGGGGACAATTCTTCAACTTGTCACAAAAACTGCTGGTGTGATATTTTCCTATTTAAATGAAGTTGGATTTTCCACGATTTTGAAAGTTTTTTTCTCAGCTAAAATTTTATCAAATGAGAGGCTTGAAAACACATGTCTCTCTTTTTTGTTATGCTTGATTAAAAATTCAATTTTATTCAAGTGTGAAATATTAGTTTAATGAGATAGACAACGTGCAACTGCCTCATTAGTTTCTCCTAGTATGATTGACTTGTAAAAGAGGCAATTTTTATACATACATGGGCTGTACAAAAATAATGCAATGGTTCACTTCTTGAGGAAACTAAAAAGTTAGGATACTGAAATACATATACATACTTTTCATCAGGGGCCCTTCTAAAAGAAGTT